CAGAACATTTAGTTGCGCTTGTGCAAAACCTATACTTAAACCAAGAGGTTATTGTATGAACAGAGCAGAGGAACACTGCATGGTTTAAAATTAAGAAAGCTGTGTATCAGGGTTTTATCCTTTTATCCATATTTATTTAATTTGTATGCTGAGAAAATCATTCAAGAAGCTGGATTCTATGAAGAAAAATGTGCCATCAGGACTAGAGGAAGACTCATCAATAACCTTAGCTATGCAGATGACACAGCCTTGCTTGCTGAAGGTTAAACGCCACAGCCTTCAATATGGACAGCATCTCAACATCAAGAAAACAAAAATCCTTGCTACTGGCCTGAAAGGAATCGTCATGATGGACAGAGAGAAGATTGAGACTGTCAACAACTTCATGTTACTTGGATCCACAATTAATACACTTGGTACCAGCAGTCAGGAGGTTAAGAAATGTATTGCACTGGTAAAGTCTGTAGTTAGGAACTTCTCCAGATTATTGAGGAGTCAGTTTGATTATTGATGTCAGTTTGAGGACTGAGGTACACCTGATTTAGGCTGTGGTCTTTCCAGTCACTTGCTATTGCATATGAGAGTTGGACAGAAACTAAGGATGACAGAAGTAGTAATATCTTTGAATTGTGGTAGTGGAGATGAGTGCTGAAGATCCCATGGACTACCAAAAGAACAAACACATATGTCTAGAGAAGGTACAGCCAGAGTGCACACCTTGGAGGCAAAGATGAAGAAGCTGCTTCTCACATACTTTGGGCATTGTGCTAGGAGAGGCTATTCCTTGGAGAGTGACATGATGCTTGGGAATGTGGGGGTGATGAAAGAGAGAGAAAACCCTCCATCAGGTGGGTTGACATGGTGACTGCAGCAATGGGATTGAGTGTGTCAGAAATTATAAGTATGGCATAGGATAGGACAGTGTTCAGTTTGATTGTTCATGCAGTAGCTATAAATGATATTCAACAACAGCAACATCCTGAGTATAGGGAGCTCTGGTGGTCCAGTGGCAAGAAGCTGCACTGCCATCCTAAATGCATGTGATTTGAATCCACCAACTCCTTTGCAGGAGAAGGATGGGCATTCTCCTCCTGTGTGATTCACTGCCTCCGAAAACCCACGGGAGCATCAGCTATGGTTTGGCTCTAACTTGAAGGCATATAACAATAGTTCTCAGTATGCATCCACCTTGTTTGAAGTAGCATCCCTGTTACTCACAGATGTGTCACATTCCTGCCCACCTAGGAAGAGATCCCATCCTGAGCATGTGTAATCATAGAGTAGGAATTCAGCCGGCAGCAGTTTATGAGTCATTGTGCTGAACCTCTGTCCTAAACTCAGGGACAAATGTGCTTGAGGTAAACCCAAGAACCCAGGTGCTGTGCTACTGTGCAGATATGCATGGGCTTTAGCCCTGGCTCGCTTTGCTGCAGGGACAGCCTTCTGCTCTGACAGGTTCTTTCCTGTCCCCTCCTTCTTCCTTGTTGTGTACAGCTACCATCTGTATTCTCACCAGCATGACAGCTCTCAGCACTGTACTGTCTAGAGACTCCTGTTGCCATGAGCCACACCTTAAGACAGACTTCTTGGCGCTATTAAAGCCAACCTAGATGAAGCTCAAGTTAATCACATCTGCATGAACACTGATTTGAACTGTTGGCCACCCCTGAGGGAATCAGCCCATAACCTAATCACCTTCCTGATCTTTCTGGGTGTTCTCTCAGGATAGGCACCTGCTGCTGGGATCTTAGTATGTGTCAATACCAGCTAGTGAGGATTCTTATTCCAGTCATGCCAGCAAGCTCACAAATTCTCCAAGGACATAAAGGAGGTTATTATGGGAAAAGGAGTCTAACCTTTTTCAGTCTCCACTGAGACAGGATAAACTCAGGAAATTATGAGTAATGCATGATGAGTGCTTTAGAAATGTGACATAAAATAATTTAATGATAGGCAAAATGAAATACAATTTGTCTTATTAAATAATCTTCCACTTAAAATAACTTAAAATAATGCATTGTTACATACTTCAACAAAAGTAGAAGATTACAGAACTATTGCAGCAAGAATCTGTTATTGCAGCAGGAACCTAGTACCACCAAAAAGCAAATTTGAAAAGTTGTGCATTATAACCAAATGGCATTTATTCTGGGAATGCAGGGATAGTTCAACATTAGATAATTAATTGACATAATATACTACATTACTAGGTCAAATCAAAAGAAACGCATGCTTATCTTAATGCATGCAGGAAAGTGCATTTGGTTATCTAACATTCCTTCAAGAAAATTGGAATGGAAGGAAAGGTAAGGTTCAGGGAATATATGCAAAGCCAACAGCTAACATGCTTAGTGGATCAAGGACTGAGACAGTTCTGATTACTGTTGGGAACAAGACAAGAATGCCAATTCTTATTGATTCTATTGCATTAGAAGTCATAGCCAGAGCAGCAACACAAGAAATAAAAGATGCCCAGATTGGAAAAGAACAAGTGAAATTAGCTCTATTCACAGATGATATGATTCTATTTAGAGAAAAATCTCAGTCTATAGGAAAACTGCTAAAGCTAATAGGGGAATTTAGCAAAGTGACAAGGTTCAGGAAAAGCAAAAATTAACTGAATTTCTATCCACCAGCAAAGAGAAATCTAGAAGGCAAATTAGGGAAACAATACAATTCACAGTAGTCTGTAATAGACTAATACCTGGGGGAAAATTTCACCAGGGATGTAAAAGCCTTGTTATTTGTCATCAAGTTGAGTACGACTCACAGTGACCCTATGAACAACAGACCCGAATCCTGCCCTTTCCTCTGCCATGCTCATCATCTCTGACTTTTTTCAGTCCATAGCTGCAATCACTGTGTCAATTCATCTTGTTGAGGGTCTTTCTAACTTCCGTTGACCCTTTAACTTTCCAAGCACGATAACGTTTTCCAAGGACTAGCTTCTCCTAGCAACATGCCCAAAGCATGTGAGACGAAGCTTTGCCGTCCTTGCCTCTAAGGAGCACTCTGGCTGAACTGTTTCCAAGACATTTCTGTTTGTTCTTTTTGGCTCTTTTCACAGAGCAGACAGGTTTTGGCAGATTAAGACAGACTAAAAAGCAAGATTGGCCATCCACTTCTGAAATAACAGGTCTCCAAAAACCCTATGAACAAAAGGGTGAAAGCTTTATACATTGAAAAGTAAAAAAGCACTGTTGTTGTGTACCTTAGAGTTGGAACTAACCCATAAATGGCCTTCCAGCAAGTTTTCAAAGACAATTAATCACACGGGAGATTGCCCATCCTTCTCACACAGAGCAGCTGGTGGCCTCAAATCTCATACTTTCAGGACTGCAGCACAGCTTCTTGCCAGTAGGCTACCAGAGCTCCCTATAACAATAAAACACTACTGAAAGATATTAAAAAGGATTTCAATAAATGGAAAGATGTTCCGTATTCAAGGATTGGAAAACCTTTTACTGTTAAAATGGCAATACTACCGCAGGTGATCCCCAGATTAAAGCAATTTCAGTCAAAATGCCACAGCTTTCTAGAATGGAAAACCCAGTGCTCAGCGTTATGTGGATGAGAAGAGGCCCTAAACAGCTAAAGCAATTTTGTGAACAAGAAGAACAGAGTAGGATTCATTTTGCCTGATTTTAAAACATGAACTCTAGACCTGGAACCATGAAACGATTGCCCTGAGATCATTATTAAACCTTAAACTAAAATATCACCGTATGTTTTATGAAAATCAAATAATAGTTAAGATTAACCTACGATGTCTGCATTGAGTGAGCATTGTATAGTTTGATGAAGGGTTTATGTTGGATCAAATTGACAACAGTGAGATTAGATAAGAAGAACGTTAACAGAGAGGAACAGCTGGGAAGATCTGTATAAGAACGGCTGCCCCTCCTCAAAGAAGGAAATCCATGAATTTGGTAGAAATTGTTGAATTGGTGTCTGTTCTACTTTGAATGTTCTCAACAACTATAAATATTAAAAATTTAAAAGAAACATAGCATCAATAATCTCAAATGTAAGCTTTAAAGTCAAACAAGTTCCTGGCCTTTTGAAGACCTCTTTAGCTGATAAAATGCAAAACCCAGGGATGGGGCAGTCCAACTCTTTTGTGAAAAGACAACATATGGAAGGTTTTTAATGCTCCTGAGAGAGACATCTAGTGTTGGACTCTCAACCAGAATGAATCCAGTACACCTGCTGAAATGGTCTAGATTCTGTGTACCATTCACCCCCAGGGACTGTGAATTACATGGTCATTCAGATGTGCCATGTGTATTCTGCAACCTGCTTAGAGAAACATCTGGCATTCTTACTACCTTACTATGGCTACAGAAATTTTCCATTCTCCTCCAGGGACTTCCATTTTAGTGAGGGTTGTTTGTGTTACTGCATGCAGATTAAAATTCACTATCTAGCTTTCCCTCTGTGTTGAGTGTTGAATCATTTTCCTCAGATGGCAGTAAGGCCATTTTTGAAGTGTTGGAAGGCTTTTTCTGGGATTTTTGTCCAGATGTCCTTGTCTGTTTTGTTGACAATAGAGACCTCCTTTTCATTTGTATAGAATTTTCCCATTCTTATTATTTCTGCTTCTCACATGAAAGTAGGTTAGCAAATGATAGACAAATCCTTATGTGACAAGGAATATATTCAGTGGAAAAGATCATTGAGTAATAAAGAATGCTCAAAATGAGATTATGCAAATTATTTTATTATCATTCTTTCAAATGTTACAGGAGCTTTTGATCCTAAACAAGGCAAAGAAATTCTATCTAGCTAGTAGGTTTTATTCTTCTTTTTTCTGTCCTAAATGTTATATTAAAGCATAACAGATGATGGTAAAATTAAACCTTCAAAAGGGCTTTCCTCATAATCACCTATGTACTTTATAGCCCAAAAGAAAAGATGAATACATTTGCTTTGACCTCCTAGTTTATAATTTACTCAAGCACTGTTGGAACAGAAATGATTGTCATGGTCTTTAATTTCAGGAAACCTGTGATCTGGGAAAGATAAAGCCTGAAGCCAGACGATATTTGGAAAAGTCAATTAAAATGGGAAAAAGGAATGGACTCCATCTTCCAGAACAAATCCAGAACGTGAGTTTATTTTTGGTTTTCTTAAGGTGGAAAATAGGGATAAATCGAACAAAAACCAGGAAACAGAAATAGGCTCAGTAATAAAACGAAAAAATCCATTATCAATGTTTTTGGTATTCAGGAACTTTAAATTCTACAACTTCTGTTATCCTTGTGCTATCTGACAAACAACTGACTTTGAACTGTTTTCCAGTGCAGTAAAAGATTTATTTGTTTTACAAATGTTGGACATATTTTCTTTGCTCTATTTTACATTGCTTAAGATTCTCACCACTGGGCTAATTGGCAGCACCATAATAGATTGAGGTTGTTAGCAATTACAACTTGTTAGGCTCCACAATCAACACCAGCAGGCAGGAAGTCAAAAGACTAATTGCATTGGGAAAATCTGCTGTCATGGACCTCTCCAGAGTACTGAAGAGCAACGATGTCAGTCAAGATACAAAGGTACATATAATCCAGGCCATGGTCTTTTTAGTTACTTGTTATGCTGCAGAGAGTTGGAAAATGACTAAGGATGAGAGAAGAAGAATAGATGCCTTAGAGTTGTGCTGGAAAAAAGTTTGAACATACCATGGATTGCCAAGAAAACAAATCTGTCAGTCTTGGAGAGGGTGAAACCAAGTCTCTTTAGAGGCTAAGATTTTGAAGCTTTGCCTCACTTACTTTGAGCACGTGGCCAGGAAAGATCGGTCCTTGGAGAAGGACATTATGCTCGGAAGGGTGAATGTACAGTACAGGAGAGGGAGACCCTGGATGAGATGGATTGATACAGTAACTGGAACAGTCGAGTTTGGTGTGTTGAAATTAGTAAGACTGGCTCAGGGCAGGGAAGGGTTCAGAGCTGCTGTACATAGGGTCACTATACATCACAGGTGACTAAATGGCACATAACATACTATAACAGGTTTGGAAGCAGGAGTAGCATTTGCTTCCTAAGTAATATGTTTTAAAAAACTCTTTGAATTTTTATAAATGTCAATAGTTGTAGAGGGGTTTTAGGCCTTTTGTTCATAATGTCACTCTGAGTCGTGCTCTACTCAGAGGCAATGAACAACAGCGTATTCCTAGCAGTGGAATAGCTGAGTCATATGGAATTTCTACACTCAGCTGTTTTTGTTTGTGGTTTTTTTATTTTATTTTAATAATTTTAATCAACATTTACAGAGAATTTGGATTTCCATTCATTTATTGTTGCACTTTTCTCCCTGCTCAGCCCTACCCCTTGCTCCCCACCCCTCCCCCAGTTTGCTCCTCTCTTTGAAAAAGTAAAAGAAAAATTCTTTCTTTGGTATACAATCCCCCTGCACCCCTCCCACCACCCCAGGTACACTCCATTATGCACCCTTAATTCTGGACTCTTGTGATAACTATAATACCCTATCATATATCCCTTTTAAATTATTCTCTCCCTCATCTATTTCAATGCAGTATACATAATTTATAACGTATAAATTATATATGATAACAGATGTTGCCCTGGATGTGCTCACCAAGTTGTGCCAAGAAATCTGGAGAACAACCACTTGGCCAACTGACTGGAAGAGATCT